GCCGCCTGCCGGCTTCCTGCGGTACGCGAGGCGCTGGCTGGGGGTGGGGGCTGGAGGGCGCCCCGGGAGTGCTCGCCGCGCTCCATGCCTTTGTGTGCTCCCTGCCCTCGCGGCACGGGTGCTCCGGCGCAGTGGCGCGCGAGTTGCCCGCGAGCGTCCTGCCCTTTCTAGGCTCTAGAGGCTGCCCGCCCGTGGCCCCCTGCGGACAAGCCGGCCGTGACCCGCTCTGAGTGGTCCTCGCGTTCACCGGCCCCTGCCGGCTTGCTCCCCGCGCCCGTCGGCCAGCCTCAGCCCTCCTAGGGTGGCCTTGGGAAGGTGGATGCACCAGCGAGAATGAATGGGAGTGGGATCCTTACTGGAGATTTATTTCACCACTACAGTAAAGGATCACGCCATCCACTGCGCTGTGTAAAATACTCTACATAGCGCTGTTTTTCCCTTCAGAATTTTTCCAGCCAGCGGCCAGTTCCTCTTGTTCCTTCTCCAGATCCTCGTTTTCCGCCCTTCACCTCCCTTTCCCGCCTACCCCTCCCATGCTCTCCAGGTTGGCAACAGGCTCCACCAGCCTCGTCCCCAGGCTGTCGCTTTTCAGGGGTAAAGCATCCTTTTTTGTCGTTTGTCATTACTTTCTTAGGGTTGTCTTTCCTCACATTCTAGGTCAGTGCTGGATACGTATGTGTACTCCTTTGTATGAATTACTGTTTATATGAAGGTACTTGTCCCAAGTCAATAGACTGTATTGTTTTGAATTCCTAGAGGGTCAACATTATCTACTTGCCTTACCCTTGGCCCAGCACGTGGTGTATCCTGGTCACTGTTTCATGTACACTTGAGAAAGTTATGCATTTTGCTGTTGCTGGAGAAGCGGATATCAATTAGGTCAAATAGGTCGAAATACTCATACTTATTTTTTGTTACTTATTCTGAGAAAAAGTGTGGGAATTTCCAACAATAACTGAATTTGTCTATTCTTGAAGATCTGATTAACGGCATAAATATTTACGATTATGTCTTCTTGATGAATTGACCCTTTTATCATTATTATATGTTTTCCATAAGCGGCAACATTTCAAATTCTGAGTCTTCTTTGGTAGCCAATTCACCTTTAAAACAGCATTCATGTGAAAAGCATTCCTGTTGATTTATATTTAACGTGACAGCATGTAGTTGAGTCGTGCATCTTCCATTTTATCCAGTTTGACAGTCTCTGCCTTTAGGAATGACCTTCCCATGGCCAGAGTCTGCTTGGGGATCGTGTGAGGGTTTTTTGACTTATCTGTGGTGGTGGCTGTCAAAAAATTATGAATGAACCTTGTTTTTTGCTCATCAGCTTTAGTTAGTGTTTGTGTATTTAATGTGTGCCCCCAAACAACTGTTCTTCCAATGTGGCCCAGAGAAGCCAAAAGGTTGGACACCTCTGGGAGCATTCACATTTAATGTGATTATGGATATGAAGAAATTTAAGTCTACCATTTTGCTCTAATATCTTGCTATTTATTTTCTATTTGTTCCATCTTTGTTCCTTTTTTCCCACAATCTTTTAAATTGTTTGAGTTTTGTTTTAAGAATCTTCCATTGTTAGTTATTAGATATACCGTTACCTCCTTGTTTTATTTTTTTTAGTGGAGCTAGGTTTATAATAGACATATATAATTTACTGTAGTCCACCGTCGGAGAAAATTCTGCCACCGAATATGTAAGAGCCTTACAACAGCATACTTCCATTTCCCTTCCCATTATAAAGGTAGCTCTGTGCTATTGTACTACCTGGCTGGCATGTAAACTTCCTATTTTGCAGCCTACTTGGTGGATTGCCCAGTCGCTTTTGGGCTTTTTGAAAAGTAATCTGGAAGTGTTCATTAAAAAATTCAAAAGTGCAAGCTTGTCCTGGTGCTCATGCCTCTAATCCTAGCACTCTGGGAGGCCCAGGCAGGTGGATCCCTTCAGCTTACCCTTGAGCTCAGGAGTTCAAAATCAGCCTGAGCAAGAGTGAACCCATCTCTACTAAAAACAAAAATTATCCGGGCAATTTTAGTGTATGCCTGCAGTCCCAGCTACTGGGGAGGCTGAGGCAGGAGGACTGCTCAAGCCCAAGAGTTCGAGGTTGCTGTAAGCTATGATGCTATTGCACTCTACCCAGGGTGACAGAATGAGACTCTGTCTCAAAAAAACAAAGTAACAACACCACCAACAAAAGCCCACTTAAAATGGCAAATATATATATATATATACATATATATATATATATTTTGCAGTTTTTTGGTTTTTTTTTTTTTTTTTGGCTGGAGCAGGGTTTGAACCTGCCACCTCCAGCATATGGGGCTGGCGCCTTACTCCTTTGAGCCACAGGTGCCGCCCAAAATTGCAAATATTTTTGATGAAGCAGTTCTGTACCTTGGAATCTAACCTATCAATACATAAAGAAAGTAACACCAGGATGTTTACCGTAGCATTTTTGTTAAACCACAAAAATAAAAGAATGTGAATGTAAATAGACAAATGGTGGAAAATATTATGATCCACCATAGTTTAGAATACAATATAACTATTGAGAGAATTAAGTCGTTTCTGAAAGATGTTCTTGATATATTAAGTAAAAGAAGCAAATTACAGAGCACAGTATCATTCCTTGCTTGTAAACAACCATCAATGCAATTTTATTTATATAAGTAAAGTAAGTTCCTGGAAAGAACAATAGCAAACACTGATAATATACTTCCACTCACAGATCCAGTCAATCCCCCAATAGCCTTGTGAGGAATACTATTATTCCACTTTACAGATGAGGAAACTGAGGCACAGAGAGGTTAGTAACTTGCTTAGGGTCACCTACCAATAAGTGGTGGAGCTGGGATTGAAACCTCTGCTGTCTCACTCTGTAGTGGGACTCCTGCCCCATAAGCACCCATATGAACCTCTGGTGAGTTGCAGAAGGGGCAGGGGAAAATGGGTATCTTTGTTTGGATGGTTCCAAGTTATTTACATTGAGGAAAAAGTACTTCTGCATTTTTAGCTGACAGCTGTATAAACTTGGTAAATAGTTGTTACCACTCTAAATGAGGTAAGTACAGAAATGGTCTCAAGTACAGATGAAATAATTTTGAGTTATCTAGGCTGTCATTATTTTGAATGAGGGGACAGACTTTCTGGAAAAAGCAGTGGTTAGGAAGGCTGTATGAGATTACAATTTTGCTAAAAGGAACTGACTTGTGGGAAAAGGTACTTTCACTGTGGCACTTTGTGAAAAATACCAAAGCTTATTCCTGGCACACTTCCAATATTACCCCCTTCTACTTTCAAAAAAGATGAGGGGACTTAAAACTTCAGTTTGGAAAGCCCCAGAGGTGAGTGTGCTGATTTTGGAAACACTTTTGAACAGCAGGACGTCCAGTTCAACATATTATATTAAAAAATTAAAAAAAGTTTTTTGGGCAGCACCTGTGGCTTAAAGGAGTAGGGCACCAGCCCCATATACTGGAGGTGGCAGGTTCAAACCTAGCCCTGGCCAAAAAAAAAACCTGCCAAAAAAAATTAAAAAAATTTTAAATTAAAATATTTCTAATGACTGTTTCTATATTTACAGAACCGTCACTCAAATAATTAAAATATTTTTATAAACATTAATGTATAATACTATTTTTTAATAATAAAATCCATTAATGAGCTTGAAGATGTCACTTTTCTTTCTTTTTTTTTTTTTTTTGAGACAGAGTCTCAAGCTGTTGCCTTGGGTAGAGAGTGCTGTGGCGTCACAGCCCACAGCAACCTCCAACTCTTGAGCCTAAGCGATTTTCCTGCCTCAGCCTCCCAAGTAGCTGGGACTACAGGCACCTGTCACAATGCCCAGCTATTTTTTGGTTGCAGTTGTCATTGTTTGGCAGGCTGGGGCTAGATTCCAACCTGCCAGCTGTGGTGTATGTGGCTGTTGCCCCAGCCACTTGAGCTACAGGTGCCGAGCCAGAAGTCAGATCTCAGATGTCACTTTTCTTGTACATACAGCATTATTAGGAGAAAATTTATCCCAAATATTATTTCTCTACATCTTCTGAAGAAAGACCTAAATTGTAGCCAAGCTGGTTGATCAACATTTGTAAAAACTAGTTTAAATGTGTATGATTCTAAAAACTCACATTTATAAAAACATGTTCAATTACATTTTGGTTATATGTAATAAATGTAAAACTGTTTTAAATAATAGGTTCTTTAATATTTATTCAAGTTAAATGTCTTCAATTTTTAAAAATAATCAGCTGACAATGTATTTTCTTATTTGTAATGGGGAAAAGCAAAGCAGATTACACATACACAGGAACCTTAGATTTATATGAAAACTTTTATATGGATGGTGTGTACCTCATTCTGGAAATCCCCACTTCTCCTCACTTCTGCATGAACTCTTTAGTGTTCATAAGAATTAAAAAGGTAAAATAAAAATGTGGCTATCATTTTTGTTTCTAGTGGATGGCTTGCAAGTATTATGTTACATTTTAACAGGTCTCCATTTAAGCACTAGAAAATATAGGCATGAACTTGTTAAGTAAATGATTATAGATGTTAGCAAGAATAAAAATTACTTGATGAAAAAAAGAATTATTGAATGTATTTTTTTTCACATGGTGATATAAAAATAGTTGCTGTTACTGGGTAAAAAGCTAACGAGACTACATCAAAGACTTAAAGTAATTAAGAAAAAAAAACTTTACAAATCTTTCTTATGGTAAAAACTTATTATAAATATAGGTGTTTTTATTAGCT